TATCCTAGGAAAGATGGTCTTTCGCAGGATCATTCCAATGGTTGCTTTAAAGACCTCTAGATTAAGGCCTAGTTGCTTTAGATTCACAGGCTTCTATATTGGAAATTATTGGAAAATGGCAACGTCTTTTCAGAACTTCTTGGCCAGGTTGCCCCTGGAAAGACTTTGTACACACAATCTGCCACGGTGAAGCATGCTGCTAAGAGTGCGGTTATATCTGAGGGATCACAGTGTTCAGGATGAGGATGTATCAGTCTTGTCTGAAAGCTATCAAAGTTTAGAATGCCGACGCCATGACATGTCATGGGAACGATATGCCGCTGTTTGGGAACAAGACCCACAATGTTTGGCCTCATGTTGGTACTACTCTGCAAAACTTTGCGACGTACTAGGCAGAGAAGATGTTACTGCTACTGCTACTGCTACTGCTGATTTTATTGCTACTCCTACGACTACCGCTAGTACCACTACCACCACCACTACTACTGGTACTAAGCTTAAAACAACATTTACTTCCTCAGTGCACTTCTTGGAAGAAACATCGTTCCAAGCTCGCCTGCTAGAACGGCCAAGGTACAAGAAGGGGCTTCTGAGTGGCTTGCTCAAACCAGTAGCAGGATCCTTGTTTCGGGTTGCAGATCTAATCATTTTGATATGTTACATCACTTTGATTACTTGTGATCATTTTCCTCTTTTGGTCTAAGGCCGCAGAGATCTTGTCTGGAATTTGCCAGAGGAGCATTTTCTTCTTGCTGGTCCAATATTGGTAGATGCCAGAACGATCTATCAATGAACTACTTTGACTTTGACACAGTCCTTTTTTCAGTACACAGAGACACAGAGTCATGAGCTGATGATTTGTGCTTTTGAGAGCTTTGACAGGTTGCTCGTGTGCAAATAGGCAGCACGCATACAGATAACAGCGGTTCGATGGAACTTCAGCCATTGGGTGTAGCAAGCTGTCTGGAGGAATGCTCACAGTGGCCTGTCAGCCATGATTGCAGGCCGGGCAAGATGCGCTTTTCCAAAAAAGAAATGCAGAACCAGAACCCGTGCCTGTAGCAAGCGGTCGTCAAGCTGAGGGTTTTGCCAAGGCAATTGTATAACAGAAACTAAGATAGTATGGGTCATTGTTTTCTTTGTTGTCTTCTCCATTCTCTTGCGGTGCGAACGACCTCTTCGAATGTGTAGACCTCTGTTCTCCGATTCGTCAGGCTGTGAACGTGAATGTGACCAGGCTGGGTCTCGCCTACTCGCCTACTCTTTTCAGTAGCAGAGGTCGTAGCAAGTTGTGTTTGAGGTGGGAGGTGTTGGAAGCTCCTGAGCATCATCGAGCAACGAACGAGGTGGGTGCCAGCGGTGGTCGTGCTCCCCTTTTGTTGCATAAGCTTCCATCTGCGTTTCACAAGTTTTCGAGTGTTGAACTCGATTGGTTCTTTCTTGAACAGTTGCCGCAACACGATTTTGGATGATGAAAGGATTTGCCAACTCTGACAAAGAAGGATTCCAGGGAGAAGAAGGTCCGAAACGCCGTGTTGTCGCCGCGTGCGGAGGAACGCCGCGTGGCAAGAGGTGGCGGACTTCAGCGACACACGGTCTGCACAAAGGTCGAACACATCGTGAAGCGATGGGACGCGGCACAGGACCTGACGTTGTCGCCGTTCGACGTCCAAAGGGCGACCTCACGGTTGAGTGACCAGACCAAAAGCAGATGGTGCGGGAAAAGGACAAAGGCAGCCCTTTTGGTTTGATGTGCTTCATTCATGTCGACGATTTGGAGAGTTCGATTACAGTATATACAATATTACAATATACACTTTTTTCAGCCCACTTTTTCATGCACTCCAAGTCGTCAAGTGGCAAAGTCGGTTTTAGTCTCCTTCCATGGCTTATTTTGTGTATAGCTGCTGCCTTTTTCCATGCATTTCCAGAAACTGTGTTATACTTGGCGCTTGCTTCATCCCAAGTTGTTGACTCAGCTGACCGCCTGACCGCTCACAGCTGTTGCAGCTGTTGTCCTGACTGCTTCTGCCGCAGCAGTTCCGCGGATCCGCTGGGGTCCTCGAGTGTCTCCTCTGCCAAAATGGCGGTCTTGGGCTTGGATGCGTTGGATAGGCATTGACTTGGTAGTAACAAGAAGCTACTAGGAACAAGTGCATCGCTAGTAGTAACAAGTGCCTTACTGGTAGTAACAAGAAGCTACTAGGAACAACTAGGCATTGACTTGGTTGCGGTTTCAACGGGAGAATCTTCTCGTCCAAAGGGCCTTGTGGTACCGTTTTGATGCTGAGGAGTACTTTGATGTGCCGGCTGCTTAGGATAGGCTCAGGCCGTTCCTTATGATTGCCACGTTTGTCTTCGTCTCGCTTGGATGCTTACTCACTCACTCTGAAAGGTGTTTGCTGTACCTGCTTGACTAACTCTCTATTTCTGACAATGCAAGATACTGTTGCATTACAGATATGACCAGTACTGCAATGGATGAACATGCACAGATTGAAACTTAAAGTAAATGAATTTGGGCTTGAGCCGCTTGACAACACATGCTTCCAAATTAAACATCGCGGACGCTTGGCACCTGGGAAGGATACTCACAACACCAGCTGTTTGGTATCATCCTGACTGAGGCATGCTTCACAGGCCCTGGCCAGGGATACAGAGAGTGTATGGTACTCATCTACTTCTTACTCTACTTTTGTGCGAACTCGAAGTTCTATGGGCTGGGACCAATTATGTTCAGCTTAGTGCCTCTTCCTTCGCGGTTCCTTCGCGGAAACAGTGCTTCTACCCCGTAGAAAAGCTCCCACAGCAAAACCCCTGGGCACACGGGCATGCTGCACGAGATCCACCGAAAGCTTGCTCTGTTCCGGTAGGACAAATCCAAAAAACGTTGCTTTTTTCCTTTTGGGTGAAATATGTATTGACATGATCATTGAAATGACCTGCACCGGCCAAAATGCAGGTGCAACACTTGGCTGGTCAAAGAAAAGGGCTTTTGACTCCTATTGTATTTGGGATTGACTAGGTAGTGGACATTCCTTGAGCGAATTGCAGGATTTCTCTGAAGACCAGGGAGATGAGAACGACCTGCTGAAGAGATTTGAGGCGGGTCTCTCTTGAATTATCAGGAGTTTAAGCGTGAATAGTGCAAACCATCTGGGAATCTGGGAGATCAGTTGGCAAAATGGTACAGTTCTTGAAATGCTCCATCTTCAATCTGCTGGCAAGGATGCCTCTTTTCCGCTAAGTCACTGGGGATCACTCGGATGACCAGGGGAAACAAGAAGCCTCTTCCTCACTCGCAGGCGTTGTCCCGGAACTTCCGATCCGAAGTTCAAGTTCTCTTTGGCGCGGAGCCCGGCGGAGCCCCCGTGCCCTTTGGGGGAAAGGGATGGACCAACGACTCCGGTCGAGGTTGTAAGAGAGGACGACGGGGGCTCGGAGAGGTTGACGGATGGGATGTGGTGATGGTGTTTGGTGGGGTGGACCATGTCTGAGGTCAGGAGAAGGAAACAGCCAAGGAGCGCCAGCGCTGGGAACTGCTCCACCCAGCCGAGCAGATGGGCATGGTACGGCCAAAGACTCTTTTTTTTCTCCCACATCAAGAATCGACAGTAACTGTTTCGTTGATGCAGTTCCTGGAATTGGTGAACTCATCTCATTTCGTTCGACTCTGTGCCTCGAGTCTTCCGGTTCTGCCGGTTTCTGTTGGATGGCCGGTTGCCTCGACTGATCGCAGGACCTGAATCGCCTACAGCAACGGAACGCAGAGCTGGAAAAGCAGCTACAGCTGGAGAGAGAGGAGGCCACAGTCGCCGACTGTGTGACCCTTGAGTGGCAGGGTGACCTGTTAGGTTTCTTTCTGTTTGGTTCAATTTTCCCTGCCTTTAGCAAACCTGAACAGTGGTTTGGAAGGTGTTGTTATCTTCAACTAGGTAGATGCTGCTGATCATAGGCACTGTAGAGTGATATTTTTGAGCTTTCACTTTCAAATTTTGGCACACCAGGTGTGGGCCAAAACCTCCAAGAAAACCAACCACTCAACTCACTAAATCTGGTTAGCTGCAATGACCACGCTTTCTTTGATGGTTTCTTGGAGAACACCAGGAGCTTGATGTGTTTGACTCCCCAGCCAAGCCGTTCACGCTGTTCACCTCAATGCGTTGTTCTGCAGGCGCAGGCGGTTGGAGCTGCCATCCAGAGGTTTCTGGCCAGCCAGGCCGAGATCCGACATCGGTTTTGATCTCTGGAAGGGATGAGATGGATGTTTCTTCTCCCCCCTCCCCAAGAAAATCTCAGGGTTGGTTGAACAAGGACAGTTGAGGGCGGGGGTGCTAGAAATGTTCTGAAGCCATGCAGCCATGGCCAGATTGAGCCATGTTGTTTGGATATGTTTGGACAACAAACTTGTCGGGAGGGTCCTCTATGATGCTCAGCGGTTTACACTTGGACTACATGTTATTGTATTCTTCCAGTACCAACGTTTTCTTTCGGGTGCATGTTTGGATTTCTTTTGGGAGGCATTTCTTTGTCATACCTTAGATTTCATTTGCAAGTCACTCGGTAGGTGCTTGGGCCACGCTGTGGAATTGACACGTGATGAAGAAAACAATCACACCAACTGGATTTCCTTTGAAGGTTTGTTGAGCTTCATGGTTTGGGGTTTGACACGGGTGCTGAAAGAACATTTATGTAGAGAACAGCACGCGGCAGGTTTGACTTCTGTCGGTATTGAAAGAATGATGCAAAACATGCTGACTGCTGACAAATTGATCTCTGCCAGCACGAGGACCAAAACTGCGTTGAAGAGCAAGACACACCACAAACAGCCACGTCCTTGTAGCCTGCCCCATGGAGGCACAAGCAAAACCCAAAGCAGCTGCTGATGTCACTGAATCAGATAAGGGTCAGATGAGAAGAGGCACATGATCCCTCCACCCAGGAAACAGTCCAATAAAGACTCAGAGACCATCGTAGATCCGTGGCATGAAGCAAGAAACCTTCACCCCTTTGGTTGCCAGCTACCACTGGCCCTGTGAACCGAGCTGCTGGCCTCCTGGGCGCTTTCTCCGTCGCTCTTCTCGCGGCCGTCGCGGCCTTTTCGCGGGGCGCCATGTGTTATGGCAGCGCGAAGCCCATTTTCATGTCGGATGCCCCTGGCTTCCTCCAACGGCAACGTGCACGCGCTGCCAAGCACTTGGTGAGCGAACATGCAGGCAGGGTGAGCGCTTACGCTTCCTGCGCTTGCTGCGGGAAAGGTGTCGAAAAAGGCCAAAACGCCGTGTGATCGAAGCCCGTGTTGTGAGTTCGGTCATGTCGCATGCTTGGGTTCAGGTGTGGTTTCTGTCACGTGCACCAGCAGTCCCCACAGTCGTCTGAATCACCCAGAACGACGCTACAGACAAAGCCGTGATTGCTTTAAATTTGAATGTTGGTCTTTTTGGCAGGAACCATCACCTGCCGCTGCCAGAAGTGCATTTTAGCCGCAGAGGCACGCACAGGTCCCACCATCAGCAGCGAATGGCCACTGCCGCCCGTAAAATCGGCGGAGGACGCTGTGGGGTTCGTGCAGTGTTGTATTGGTGGAAGGCTTGAGTTTTTGTTTGATCGCTGTTTGGCATTTGGCACTACGATTTAATGCAAATGATGCATCTGAAATACCTTTGCAAATAGGACAGTGCTGGCTTCCTCACCGTTGGGCAGGCGGGATCATTGCGTGAACACCAAAAGACATGTTGCCGATACCCAAGTTCATCGAGCAAGTTTGCCAACACTTCAAACTTCGTGGCAGTCATAGGTAGGAACAAGTTGTAGTGATTGGCTACTGCATTCCCGGTAGATTTGCTTGATTTTGCCTGCAACTGGATTGCACACCACCTTATTCAAGAGTCGGAGAGTGACCCCGCGTGCGCGGTGCCGCTAGGTGCGTGCTGTACCAAGTCGTACCCTGCGGGAGCAGAAGGGAACCAGTGGCCGGTTGGAGGAGCGCGGAGCGCGAACGAGTCTCGTGAGTTGAAGGGCCACCGTCGGCCGTAAGCCACGTGGAACGATTTGAGACCCTTATTGAAGAGCCTCCCCTGTGGCATCATGATGTGATTCTTCAGGAAGGTCTGGAAGGTTTTTAGATGTCCCTACCCACAGGCCATGCAGATCTGAAACGAACTGAACCTCAAGAGCACCAACACGAGGAATCAACCTTTTTTGAACCCTTCTGCTGCTTCCGGAAGAAGCTGTTCCCCTCACGCTGCTATACTGCTACTGCTAAGCCCCCCCAAAAAACCGGCTCGCTCCATCTTCTAGCTGCCTGCTGCCTCCAGCTGCCTCCCACCACCGCCACGCTTCCGCCCGGCTTCCAGACGCGCGGGCCTCCGCCGCAGGAGTCGCTGGTGCAGCGGGACTTCACCTGGCTCCTGCGCGTGATGTCGGAGCTTTCGCCCTCGGAGGGCGGCGGCCTGGCGGGCACCCTGAGCTACGACGGCGTGTGGACGCCGGACCCACGCTCGCTGCAGGGGAAGCTGGGGATCTTGGTGCCAGAGACGGTGATCTTGGAAAAGGGGAAGCCCAAGAGGCTCACCCGCCTGAGAGAGAGAGAGAGAGAGAGAGAGAGGGAGAGAGGGTGAGAGAGAGGGTGAGAGGGTGAGAGAGAAGAACCAGGGTGTGCTCTTCATTTGCTCTTCATTGCTTCATGATGGTGAATGGACAGATTTCAGTGGAGGGAGCCAGGTGCTTCTGAATCTGGAGCTGCCCAACTAAAACCAAGAAGTCCACTCGCCTCTCGCGCATGTTTATCGCTATGATTCTGCTGTGATTCATAGACGGACGGTCCACCCTGTTAGACTCCAGGGGCAGCACCTGCTGCCCTCCAGCCCTTCACCCTGTGCAGGCGCTATTTCCTCGACGCCGCCGGACGCATCGGCGTGGTGCGGATGAAGTCACCTGGCCAACGTGGAAGGAGGGACCTCGTTGGTCCCACTAGAAGATGGCCATTTAGATAGAGAAGTCACCTGGCCATATGCTTTGGAAGCAAGTTCGTCACTTTTCACTTCTTCGCGAACTGACATGAACTAACCTTCCGCACCCGTTCTTCCTACAGAGAATCAAGGGGCATGAGGTGGCTCAGGATTAAGCGCGCCACATTTGGTTTGAGCATCGCAGTTTTCTTTTCTGAAGAAATTCCGCAGAGAAGGACGATCATCAGGGTGATGCACGATCATCCCAGGACGGGAAGGTTCCTCTCATGACCTGCACGAGTTGCGGCCCTGCTTTCTGAGGACCAGTGCCGAGCTCCTTCGTGTCTTGAGAGACTTCGTGCGCCGAGCTGCTGCGCAGCATAACGAGCGCCAGGAGAGACGAAGCAGTACCATGGATGGCAACAAGCAGGGGTGAGATTGAGAGTATCATATTTGAGTACTTAGAGAGTAATATGATAACACATCAGCAGTGCTATACCATCATGCTTGAGAGTATCACATTGGTGAAGATTGGCTCAAATATGATTCTTTGGAAACGCCAGAGTGATACTGACAGTGCTTTGAACAAGAGGCCATCTCGGAAGACGTAGCAGCCGATAGAAATTCTTGACATCACACATTGTGCCTGTCACAGTTTCATCCCAACCAAATCCTTCGAGTGGCTGGATGGTTGGCCATGTTTTCAGTGAACGGAACCCCAACCCCAACACCAAGAGACCCACCTAGAGACCCATGTATTGATCCAGCGTACACCACCCATATTATGATACCACATATATGTATATATATATATATGATACCAGGTCATCTTGTCCTCTCCCGGATCAGCCGTGCTGCTTTCCGAGGCATGCGTCGCTCCTCTCGCTCCGAGCCCAGCCTGGCCCGCGCCTTGAGTCCGGCGGCCGACGCCAAGTCCACGGAGACGCCGAGCGCGCTACGGCAGATCGAGGCGCCGAGCACGGCCCTTGGGTGAGGATTCCCCCCAAATAAGCGAACCGCATGTCCTTTTCTTTTTTTCTGAACAGGTTTTCTTGGACCTGCAAGATGTGAAAACACCCGTGCCCGCACCCGTTTGCGTTTTCTTTTTTGGTCAATTTGTTTGTTTCTTGCATTCATTGACCCTTGATCTTGTTTGAGAAGCCCCCGTGCTGAACTGAAGGGAACCTTGATATCGATACGTCGGATGGGTCAGGTGGCGGCCTTGCATTACAATGATGGCCTATCCAGACAGATGATGCTGGCCGAAGCTGTGAGCCAGTCCTTAGGCCGCATTCGTTGCCTTTGTTTGGTCGACGTGTTTGGTGGAAGACTGAGTCGGACAGAAGTGACAGACTGAGTCGACTGAGTCAGCTTGGCCAGCTAAGTCAGCTTGGACGTGTTCTCATCTTCAAGGACTCCATTCAAGGTCTGCTCAGGCTAAGCCTAAGAAGCTGCATTGAAAGTAAACTTGCATCAAGCTTAGGTCCTTGCATCAAACTGTTTTTTTCCAGCTTCTTGGGATTCCACTGCATTGGTTCTTGCCCCCAAGAAACAGACGAACCCCACGCGACCCAGCTCCAAAGACCACCACCACGACACCAACCACCACGCGGGAAGCGACGAGATTCGTCGCGTGCGCTGCGGAGTCTTGCGTTTCCTGCCATGAGGATCAAGGGTGCCAGTAAGCTGCCGCGGGAGTTCTGGCAACGCATGCGGATGTTGCAGGTGCCCATCCTGAGTGCCTATCCCAACATCCCCGTGAGGCCGGGGGTATCGGATGAAAACAGTTGTGTGGGTTTCTCGGCATGTTCCTGGCAACATCACCATACACGTGATAAGAACCAAGCCGACTACTTCAATTCTCCCAGCAAGACTCACCGATTGCTTTTTGTGTACATGTTGATCCAGGTGCGCGCCCGCTTTTCTTAGAATTCTTCTTCAAAAAAAGATATCACGACTATTCCCAATCTATTTTTGATGAGAACCTTGCTGCAGGTACATCGCCTACAGCTTCGACATCAACAGCGGCGGCTTAGCGCCGCAGGAGCCCATGCCCTTGGGTGGCGGGGCTCGGATCGAGCTGCGGACCATGGGGAAGCACTCCCAGCAGGCGACCGGCGACCCGGAGGGCCCCTCAAACTTGTGGGAGGAAGCGCTGGGTCGGTGAAGATGTGAAAACCATGAGCCATGCATGAGCCCTGGGAGGAATCTGGTAATTGAAGATATTGAAGGAGTTCTATCATGCTGTGACTTTCTTGATGGTGTTTCATGAAATTGTATATATATATATAAATATGAAGTTGGGGTCTTTTGTGTAAGCAAGCCCAATCCGGAAGGGCCTTCTCCGGGTGTTTCTTGGATGCAGAGGACCCAATTGAACCGGAGGCTTTTTGCTGCGTTCAGCCACTCCCTGATCTGTGAGGCAGCTCTGTGGTCGTATCCTACCTCGAACCGGTCGAAGGAACAAATGAAGTAAAATTGCATGAACAAACCCTTGGGAACTGCAGCAACTCGTGGCAACTCGTGGCAAGTCTTGCCAATTGCAAGAGACAGGTCTTTGCTTTCCACAAGGGTCCGCAGGTTCCACTGGTAAGTATCTGATCAGCAACTCGAAGCTATCTGACCATATCTGACCTATCTTTCTTCCCATCCAGACACCAAGATTCTTAGGTCCCTCCTTCTCTTAATGGGCGGTCCGCCTTCTCGCTCCTCGCTCCTCTCGCCTCTTCCCCTCCTCTCAGGCCGAGTCGGAGGTGGCGCGGATGGCCGCGGTGCCCAAGGCCTTGAACGAGTTCTTAAAGTCCAAGGCTGGAGCCGAGCGACGAGACGAGCTCGACGAGCTCGCACGAGCTCAACGTGGAGAGTAGGTTGATGGGGAGCCCGAGCCAGCGCCCCTAGCTGGTTGGCAGAAAACAGCATGTGACTGAGGTACTACTACTAAGTGGCTATATGGACTGAGCTGGGTGTAGTTGCTTGAGTAGAGTTTGAAGAGCCAAAGAAAGTATAGATCCAAAAGCGAACCCTTTTGTGAGAACCGTGTTTCTTTTCAAAGCAGATAAGCATGCTAATCCATGCTGATCTATGGGCGGATCGACCACTGCGTTTTCATCCCCCAAAGTGTCTCACTTTCTGTCCAGGCGCGCCGGGTGCGAATGGAGATCGTGAAGGGTCTCTTCGAGCCCCTTGGGCGTCTGAATTGGACGCGGAGAACGCGGGGTCCAGGTCAGCGGTTCAGGCAGCGGAGCAGTTCGGTGCCATTTTTTAAATTTTTCTCTTTTTGTCCTTTCTTTTTTCTAAAGCCACTTTCTTTTAGAAGGGGGCGCCCCAGAAATCGCAGGTGGCACTCTGCCAGTACTCACGTCATCCTCAGTTCGTCAGTTCATCTTAATTACTAGTCTTCTTCGAACACCTTCTAACGGGCGGGTGCTTTTGGGTTGAAGCCAACAGGGCATTGGCCGGACGGTGAAGCGGAGCTGAGTGAGATTTCCCCATCCGGTCCTGCAGTTCGTTCGTCCGACCATGTTTTTGCCCGAGAAGAAGCTTTGCATCCGAAGTAAGTGTTGAGCGAAAAATATAACATCCGTGTCCCGTTCAAACCGTGCATTTTTTCCGTGTACCACTCGGACATCGTTCCTCTGTGATCCGTAGACGTCCTTAGTCGCCCGCTGCAAGTGGAATGGGCACCCGAGTCCGGCGGTATCATCGGAAAGCTGCATCCTTCTTCCAGGTTTTTAGTCCCATCCAGTGAGTGGAGGATGGGCATCCCGACTTCCTCCAAGTTCGGCACCCCGTCGAACGTGACTCCTAGTTGATGCTTCTCTTTGGGGCTTCTTTGCTTTCGGCACGTGGCCGCGTGGCACAGCCTCCGACGGCCCCCCCTCTGAGGTTCGTGCTCGACGAGGGCGACAGCACCCTGTGGCTGGCCAACGCCAGCAAGCTTCGGTGCCGCTTCCTGCCGAAGACGGCGCAGGACGGAGTCCACGACGAGACCCTGAAGTCGGAGGTGCTCTTCTTCGAAGAGGAGGACTTCGAAGAGGAGATGCGAGAGACGGAGAGTGTCATTGAGTGTCTCGGTGTTCTCTCCTTTTTGGTCTTTTTTTTTGGGTGGTCAAGGCTCCTATATAGGTATACACCTTGCTTGAGGACTGGTGGCTTACTAGAATCAGAAGGGTTACATTGTTGCTTGATTTCAAATCAAGCTCTGTGGTAGGGGTGTGGCTACCAGGTTGCTTAAGCCCCACATCTTTCCTTTCACTGGTACAAGGTGCCCAACGCTCCTTTTGGTGCCACCCGGCTCTCCTAAGCAGCTGGAACCACCGCGGCCACCGGCTTGCGGTTCCGGGCCGAGGTATCTGAAGAAGCGCTTCGGCGGCGACCCGGGCGTGGCCTCCGGCGGCAATGGCGTGCGAGGGATCGAGGTCAGTGCCTCCGACCAACTGGCGGGTGTTGGCGTGCCCAGCAATCTGGTGAACTTCTACGAAGAGGACGACGAGAGCGACGAGACCGGTTCGCACGGAGCGACGGTGCGCGGTTCGCGAGGACGAGCCTGGTATGTATACATGTGTGTGCTTTCTACTGGGAGTTGAGAAGGGTAAGGGATCAAAGATCATGCTCGCGAGGCACTCACTTCGGAGGGTCATGGTTATGAATCCAACATCCTCCGGTTTCTGGGCTGAAAGGATGGAGGATCCGGTTTTGAACTTCTTCTGACCTACACCTACCCCAACAGGTTTTTTAATCCTTTGACCTTTTCAACAAGAACGCAGGTGTAAAAAGGTCCGGTCCACCGTCCTCGAGGGAAAAGCTTCAGGACTCACCCAGCTCGGCAGTCCACACTGAAACTGAAGTAGATAGCAGCTGATCTCCCGAGCAGTCTCCCATCCTCGGCAGGAAGAGAAGATGCTACGGTACTACGAAGACGAAGTCCGCATTATGGCACTCCGGCGCGAGCGGCTGCCGCAGCACGAGAGCAAGGCGAGGGGGCTTGGAGAAGCGAGAAGGAAGCAGGGAGAGCAGTGGCCCAGTGGTGTGCGTGGCTAGAGTTTTTAGAGTGCCAGCTCAGATATGCCGAGAGTACAAAAAGAGCTCAGATATGCTCAGATATGCCAGCTCAGATGTCAAAAAAGTTACTTCCGTGTATTTGGGACCCCCACTGACCACTCACTCCATGGTGCTGATGTTCATTAGGTTTCTGGGCACACAGTAATTAGACTGGTTTCAAAGAACAGCTGGCACAGAAAAGAACCGACCAACTTTGATAATTTCATATAACTTCCAAGAAACAAAGAAGCATTTGCCACCTCGTGCGTAGCTTCTCACTCTATGCTCCCCCCATCACTTTCGCTTCGCCTCTGACCACGCCGTGTGCCCGGACGCCGTGTCCCCGGAGACCGAGGCGGTGGGCTTGGGCTGCTGGTTCCGCCGTTGGGTCAAGGCGGTGAAGGGCGTGCGACCCCCGCAGGGCTTCCGAGCGCTGAGAGCCTAGCGGCCTAGCGCGGTGCGGCTAGCGGCGTCGCGCGGCCGTCCCGGCCGTTTTTTTTTCTTCCCGAAAGGGCGCCTGAAGGCGACTTCTGGAGGGGTTTGTAGGAAGTAGGGCCGAGAAGGGGGTCAGGAGATTTCTATGGTGACACGGGTGAACCGTTCATTTCGGATCTGTCCACCTGATGTTGAAACCCTATTGGAAGCTTTCCTGCAAAGTTGTGAGTAGAACTCGCGCTTGGAATACTAGCGACAAGATGTTCTTGCAGTACTTCGCACATTATCTTCAAACATTGAACGCTCAGTAGTTGCGTCGTGCCCCCTGGGCACACAGAATGTTTCACACGGGCGCTGACACTCTAATGGGGTTTCAGCGGTCGTTTGTCGCAGCAAAAAGAAAGGTGCGGGGCTGTGAACCAGGGCCATGAATCAGATGTGTGCGCGGCTGTTTTTTTTTTCTAAAATCGTGATACATAGCGTATAATATAGGCCAAAGACTAATCTCTATTTTTAAACTCTATGGTGTATCATGGGTTATTTATGAACTGCTGAGGTGTGCGGGTAGTGAACCGTTCTTTTCTGCATATACTGTTAAGCTCGGTGGGTACCCCCCTCTTGGCAAGAGCTTCTCAGTTCAATCGGCAGGGCCGACTTTTCCTCGGCGGGTTTGATCGGCAGGGCCGTGAAAGTTTTCCGGAGCAGCTTAAGACGCTTTGGCCAGCAGACCTTCTGGCCAGATGGCCTTTTTTTTTGCGGAGTGACAGCTTGTCAATGCTGGGAGGTTTTCCAAAAAGAGGAAACACGTGGTTGCACAGGTGTGAAGGGTGTGTGCACCATTGTCGGTGCTCGTCGGTGGCCTGTGGTGTTCCCGCCGATCGAAGACTCTGCCAGGCGCCGGAGGAGGATGAGACGGAGACACCTAGCTGGGCACCAAGCCTCACCGGAAGAGGAGGGACCAAGCTGTGGACATGCCCAAAGAATCCAACGGATTGTTGTTTTTTCGTTTTGGGGAACAGAGGTCAGGTCCGTGTTGGAATGATACTCTGCAACGCTCCCTCATAATTATGCGGGAGACAGATTTGGATCTTCGGACTGGAATTCTGCAGCCATTTGTTGGGATGATTGTGTCTGAGGTGGGGACGTTCCCAGCTATGACTTGCGTGGGATGGTGGAAGCACTCATTGAGGCCAGTGGGCCGAAAGGACCTGAGCCTCTGAACTCGCTTCGTTCAGTGGTGGAGTTGTTTATCCCAGCCCAACGAAGCGATATTGGCCTCGCTGATGGATGGGAACGGATTGAGAAAGGAGCGACGGACTCAGCAATAGTTGACTGATTCAGTTCAACCTGTTCACTCTTTCGATTCGATTCAAATCTACGAGCACTCTCTCTGTCTCACGTGTAGTACACCAGTTCAAGAAGAAACATGTTTGCAACTCATGGGTATCCGCTCGAATGCTTTGTCGAAGTATGGTTTTGTGGTGCATGTTCGCTTCTTCTGTGTCTCAGGACTCGACGTGCCTTGTCTACAAGATCTCTAACATCCGTGGGTTTTGGCTTAAAAGATAGGCCAGAAGCGCCAAAGAAATGTGGCAACTCCCCGAAGGTCTGCTGAATCTGTTTCTTTTGAGTTAGAACTTTACAGCGTCTTTACTGCCCTTGGCTGAAAAGTAGAATGGAACGCCTTGATGCATGTCTCCTCTAGGAATGACCACTCTTGATGGAGCTCCATATGTTGGAATTTCGCTCATCATGCCCTCATTTTCTGGGGAGCGCCATGCTATCAAAGCGCATTGCATACGGAGATTTGACAGCCAGCGACACGGCTTGTCGGGGCCTCGGGCGTCCTCGTGGCCCGCCATGCTCTCTGCAGCCCTTCCGGAGGAGGAGGAGGAGGACCAGGACCGCCGCGAAGACCTTCCGATTTCCAGAGTCGGTGAAGTTGGGAAAGGTCACGGGAACGATTTCCGTCTCCACCGTAACTGACACCATGGAGAGACCATGGTCTCCACCGGTCTCCTCTGGAGCTGAAACAAAGACGACGCCCGATCTGCAGGATGTGCTGCCGAAGCACCTTGCACGAGCACAGGACACCGCGCGGTCGCACCGCACGGTCGCGGCAGCTTCGGGGGTGCGCTTTCAAAACGTTGCGCAAGACGTTGCCCGGGGAGTGTCGAAACTGTTGGCAGTTCTTTCCTTCATCCCAGACATCCTAGAGATGCAGCTGCTGCGCCCCCCATCCCAGTCTCTACCCAAGGGGTTGGCAGCAGTTTGGATGAAAATCCCAAAAACATGCTGTTGGCAAAGAATGGAAGAAGTTTCCAGCACTGCGTACTGCTTGGGCCCGAGTTCAGATGCCCATCACTGTGAACAGTGTTGGCATCATTTTTGTTTTCTGCAGATTGGGACCATCGAGCCAAACTCGAAGAAGAAACTCCTTGAAGTACCCCCTGTGCTCCCCTTGACACCTGTCCACTCCTCCAAACCTCCAAACCTCCACCCGACCTGGCGGTCCCTGGGGGGGCGATCCCGTGACCTGACCTTCACAGGAGGCGTTCCAGCGCGTCTCGCAGCAGATTTCGAGCCTGCGCTCGTCGCGCGCCTCACGCGTCTGCGTGTCCGGCTCCTCGAAGGCAGAGGAGATGGGACCGACCGGCGCGAGCGAAGGGCGAGTGGTTGGGTGGGACAATGGTGTTGCAGGATGGATCCTGCCGGACGAACACATGGTTGCAGGGCTTTGGCGCTTTCCACTCTTTTTGGACTATAGTCTCTATAGTCGTGATGGACAGGATGTTCCACAAGCAAAACCATGGTCATGGAAAAGATGGCTTGATGGAAGGTGCAGTTCGGGCACATAGAACATGATTCGCCTTGCAAAGATGGCAGTTTATCACACATGACACGCCCACACACACTATATATATATATATATCTTATATACATATATATATTATATATATATATATTATATAAATAAATGAACAAATATGTATGTATATGTGTATATATATATACACACATGTTTCAATCACTCAGTGTCATGGTCACTTTCACTGACGAGACTCTTTTTCAGATGTAAGCAGGCCTAGGCAATTGTGGCAGGAGAACGGAGCCCAGGGAGCGAAGAACTTCCAGCTTGCTGAAGCCAAAGAGGAGCTTCGACAGGGACTGAAGGTTCGCCAAAGACGAGCCGTTGGAGGGGTTCGCTTCGCGTGGGTAGGCTGGGATGCAGACAAAGCAGGCAGGTTCCAGCAAGACTGTCCGGGGTGAAAGAAACCAGTGCGTATGATGTTCCCACAATCTGAACATTCCGCTGAATCGTGATGGTGTGTGGGTTTGGCAGCATTAGCTTCTTGGTCTTGCTTGGAGTATTTGGTTGCCAGGTGCTCCGCGACACGCGGCCAAAGCATTTGGCCCTGCGGGAGGAAGTCATGGCAGAGCTTGCCGGGCTGGACATGGCATGGGATCGGCAAGTTGTGCCCAGTCCAGGGCTCAGCATGGAGCCGTTTTTCGTCACGAGGACTTGTCTTCAACCCCGCCAGACCGTGCATGTGGCACGGGGCGGGGTGCTGAGTGTAAGGTGCATTAGGGAAAAAGAACACAGCTCCAAGGGGTGTTTTGCTTGCGCTGATGTGCAGTGTAGGGTGTATTGTGTAGTATAATAACAACAACATGATCACATGCATAAAATCCCTAAGATTCGCCAGCTCAGGTATTCTGGAAGCGAGTGGTCTCAGCCTCTCACCTCAGAAGGCTCTTTTCGAACATCTCCCGACCACGTCGCACGACCTGCACGACCGCAGTTCTCCCGGTTTTTTCCCTGCGGGTCGGTCCACCATCCCAACACCCCGACCGAGCGCAGGTGGACTCTCCTGGCTCCGAGCGACTCGCCACGCCGGGGCGCGGCGTGGGAAGCGCGGCGCCAGCGCCGCCCGAGCGACTCGAGGTGCTTGAAAACGGGGGAAGAGGGTGGGTGGTGGTACGAGAACAAAGACTCCAAAGGCCATTGGGCAGAAGTGCAGATTCCTAAGTGTGGAAATGGCTGTTTCTCTTGAGGACATGTGGGTTCTATAGGGTGAACTTCACCCTCCAGAACCATCGAAAGGTTTCTAAGCAATACACTTGCCAGGCGATCCTCCAGCGACTGCAGGTCATTCTCCCTAGCCTTCAAAGACCACTAAAAAGAATCGTTGACCTGGTATGACCTGGTAATGTAAAATTCCTTCGTCAAACGATGGTTCCTTCAGATTCAGACCATAAAACAAGTAGAAACAAGACTCGCTCTTGGGCCACGCATCCACGGAATTCTCGTGGGGTGGGGAGCAACCGACACACGACACCCGCACTGACTCTGTCGCCACCCGGAGAGCTGCCGGGACCCCTCGAGGCGCCCAGTTCGCCCAGCGAAAGGTCGCCCAGTCGCTCGGCCCTCGAGGCGCCGAGTCCATCGCGTGTCCCGACGGGGGCGACGGGGGCGACTGTCTGGGGACTCTCTGGCGACTGTTTGTTCGATTGGCAGAAAAAGCTGGGTGTTTTTTCATGGCCTAGTACCATTCATGCCATGATATGCCATGGAGTTTCCAATGAATGCCATTAGTTCCGGAGCGTTGTTTTTCTTTTTTGTCGTTGGATGTGCAGTCAGATTTCAGCACTGCTGGTAGTGGCCCAACGGTCCTTGGGCACCGGACCGCACGGATTCACACTTTCTTCATGCTTCTCTTCGGTACCTCTACAGTACAACTCTGTTTCATCCGAATTTCACCCATCAATCCACCACTCTTCCTGGCTCCTTCTCTGCTTTCATGGCGCATCTTATCCCTTCTGACAGAGCAGCCCTCCTTGCCGAGCAGCTTGCAGGCATTCCCGACAACGCCCACGCAGCGAGTGCAGACAGCAACAGTGAGAACACCCGTGCAGGCCGATGGTTTGTGCTCAAAGAGGTTTTCCCGGGCTGTGGGTCAACAAGGATCCCGATGTTGAACATTAGTAGATTTGCTTTTGGAGCAAGCATTCCTTGCAAAGGATGTATGGATGTGTAACCAAAGGGGAACATGCATGGAGAAGAGAAGAGATTGAATATTGCCGCGCTGAAGGGTCTGACAAGGTCTTGAAAGGCCTGCAGCCTTGAACAAAGACTTAGTCAAATGCATGTTTCAGCAACAAAAAAAAACATGCAGAGTGTCAGTCACTGCGTCACCTGCG